TGTTATACTCAAAACTAAACACAAGTCTGCGAAGAATAAACGTCGGTTTAAACAATAAACGGTGACTCGTCAAATATAAACTATAATCCAAAAAATACACACAAAAAGAGAACAACTAAACGATTTTTGAAAATTAAACGAAAAAATGAAAAAAATACACGGTAAGGGTCCACCAGTGTTAAAGGGGACATTCTAACTAACGTTGTTGATGGTGAGGGTAGAAAGGGGACATTCTAACTAACGTTGCTTATGTGAAGGATTCCAAAAAGATAAATGAAAACAAATATTTGGTATTACTTAGTACAAGGTACTTGTTAAGTTTTTGGTGAAAATTGAATTTTAGTTAATAGACTTTTTTTATTTATACTAACAATGCTTCCAAAACCCATTGACTTTGACAGGGCAACTCTAGGTGTAATAATGGACAGGCATTATATCTGTAAGGGCTCACCTGTCAACACCTGTCTGACGTTCCTAATGCCACGACTGAACCACAGATTACAGCCGATACCCCGTGTAGGATATGCTCACGACCGCTCATTCCCACCGAGACCTGCATAATGTAATTAAGTACACACCGTCATAAGTAGTTAATGATACATCAATGGTAGAAATTAGAACAAGGGTTCCCATTGTGACAAATTATAATGTTTGATTTCGGCCGATAGTAAGATGAATGACAGAGGCTTTACTCATAACTGTTTCATTTACCATACAGGATATCTAAGTTTTCACCTTACAGAATGATAGAGAACTCGATCGATATTGTAAGGTGTGAGCAGGCACCAATCCAGCCACTGACCACACTTGATGTTGGTAAACAGTAGGTCCCCGGGTCATCATTATACCACATCACTAACAAGCTTGTTTAGCTTGCCAGTAAAGCTGTATTTCCCCTCTTATTCTTCGGCTTTTATACAATCATTTACCTGCTTATATAGTATTGCAAGAATCTCAAACATTTGTTCTACACATGTATAAATCTGTTACATTCCTACAAGTGACATATCAGAAATTATTTATTTGATAAAAACATCTTCACTGTAGTAAAAGTATACTGAATGTTATATTCACATGTGAAGCTTCCATTAAACATCCTCTCTCCGTCTTTATGAAGTTATTTATAAAAATGTTTTGAATCCTTTGGGAATTAAATCGGTTTTGATGCAGCAGACCAAAATAATAAAAAAAAATCCTCGGAGGACATAACGTCAATCAATCACACAAAAACTTCTGATACATAAGGTAATTGATTGGTGCTGTCAGGGAGAGTCTGTGGTGCTGTGATTGTAACATAAAACAATTGTTTAATTACTGATTTGAATCAGCTTCCGGCCGTATTGATCACAGAAATGAGAGAGTATTTGATCAGCGCACTCATCCATTGTGGTGTAATACCACAGTAAACACAACAAGCTGTATCAACGTTTATTGTTATCTATAATTAGATAATTCTGCTAAAGTAATCACAAATCCTGCAACATAACCAGTCTGATTACTACAGGATGATCTGTTAATTATAATGTGAACATCGATCTGACAGATACTGTCACATGTCACATGTGGGAAACCCAAGGTCTTTTTCTTGACTACATGTCTGGTATGTTGTTACAATGTCATTATATTATTGTTTAGAAATTCATAGTAAATATTGTTTGGCATGCCATTGTAAATACTGTTTGGAATGTCATAGTAAATATTGTTTGTAATATCATTGTAAATACTGTTTGGAATGTCATAGTAAAAATTGTTTGGAATGTCAGTGTAATTATAGAAAGGTTCTGTATCACAACCAGTAAGTGTTTATGTGTGATGTTTCCATGACTAGTATGTTAAGTGCCCTAACACCATCACCACGTGTAAGATATGTTGTTGAAATTGTTGTTTGGATTATGGTTGTAGGTGTCGCTGAGATCAAACACCAATCATGACGTCTTTGTACCCGGGCACGCTGTTTTACACCCCGGGACTCAACCGACGGTCAACGCCCACCAAGGCTGGCACTACCTCCGAGGAACTCTCAAAACGCTACAAAAGGTAAACATGATGATAAGGTTATAATTTCTGTTCAACAGCAACCCCCAGGTCATGATTAGAGGATTTGATGATCTTCGATTTATTTATTGACAAGGAAAGTTTGTTTACTTTTACTCACCTCAAGAAAGGAAACTTTCAGACTTAAGTTCAACCTGATTATATTGAATATGATTCATTTGTTTTGATTAAGTGAAAAAATAAAACCCCTTATATGTCATGCACATTCTACAGTGTAAACTTATATTTTACAATGTGTTACAATGTATATACGTATCCTATCATGAATGTACATTCTGCTCTCACATTTTATTTAATCACTGTACAATATATATTGATGACTGAAGAACATCATGACATAACCATTTTCTTGCATGTTAAAACCTAATATTGTAGTGCTTTTTAAATAAACCTTACTCCATTATGTAGTCAAATCATAAGTTATCATGCAAGTCATAAAGTTACAAACATAGAAATGGTACTGTTGGAAATATATTCTTCACAGAAACATTATGATTGTTTACAAATTTGCAGAAAGTTCTGAGTATATTTATCTGACCTTGGGCTATAAAGCAAATTGTGTTGTTTGTAAAACTCTGTAGATAAACCATGTATGTAATCAATATTTTGGTGGTTTTCATATCGGTTTCATGATCACTGAAATTATAAACATATAAAATGTATGTCAAAGAATTAAAATGTACAAGTATAATAGGTTATACTTAATTACTACCTATGTAAAAAAAATCCCGGCTATTTACAATTCACACAGATCAAAGCTCACTAGCTGTAGAACGGTCGTGTAGACAATGAGTGCTTTAATCACATTGTATGGTTGAGAAATCCCGGTGATTCACAATATCATCGCTATCTTAGGAGATGGTTTATCTGCTTTTCGGGTCTAATGGGTGTGTAAGGCAGGGCGACTAAGTCGGGACGGTACACGACTGTCATAGTGCTATTCAATTTATCAATACTCAGTGTGGGTCATGTCCTCTGACAATTCTCACAATGCTGCACCATGTCATCTAATTTACATAAAATGAAAAATTCAGTAACAAACTCAAAGGTTTAAGGACATCTGATGTATTTCTGTTTAACGTGAGAAAAGTTGGAGGTAGCGAATGTTTATGATCGTGAAGGGATTAAATACAAACCTTTACACAACATTGTACCTTATTACACCATCATCATCGTGAAAATCTCACAGGAAAATCAGAAAATGTTATTATACGCATAACAAATGTAGTCCTACTCGGATCCAAGATTGAGTGGCATTTTGGTAGATGTTATGCCTAGGTATAATGGCTGAGGATTACCGCCATAGTATTACAATATATATGCATGCAAGGTGTCGAATTGTACTCATCTAAGGATTGAATGGCATTTATTCAATGTTCATGCTGGTATGAACATTGAAAAGTGCTGTTCGATACATATATTTACATTCTAAATTTTATGTTTGATATTGATCTACACATAAGTATTCCCAATTTTCAATGGTTAAGTGTCAGTGTCATCATTGCATACTCGATTCCTTGAACAGTCCAAACTATATGTCACCAAAATGTTTGCTTCTAACAGTTAATTTGTCTCATGTTATTCAAGACTGGAGGGGAAGCTTCAAAGTGATGCTAATCAATTTATGTACATAGCCCTATGCATACTATTTCTGATGGTAATTGCTTATAGAGAAAGTTGCAGTGGCAATGTAAACATATGGCCATGATATCTACTGTCGATATTCAATCCCTAAATGTTATTTATCTCTAAAGGATACCTGTCCTACTGCAAAAGAACAATAGGAATGTTTACAGTGGGCCTCAATACATACAGTACTACCCTCTCCATGGTATTGCTTCAGATATGTCCATACATACAGTACTACCCTCTCCATAGTATTGCTTCAGATATGTCCATACATACAGTACTACCCTCTCCATAGTATTGCTTCAGATATGTCCATACATACAGTACTACCCTCTCCATAGTATTGCTTCAGATATGTCCATACATACAGTACTACCCTCTCCATAGTATTGCTTCAGATATGTCCATACATACAGTACTACCCTCTCCATAGTATTGCTTCAGATATGTCCATACATACAGTACTACCCTCTCCATAGTATTGCTTCAGATATGTCCATACATACAGTACTACCCTCTCCATAGTATTGCTTCAGATATGTCCATACATACAGTACTACCCTCTCCATAGTATTGCTTCAGATATGTCCATACATACAGTACTACCCTCTCCATAGTATTGCTTCAGATATGTCCATACATACAGTACTACCCTCTCCATAGTATTGCTTCAGATATGTCCATACATACAGTACTACCCTCTCCATAGTATTGCTTCAGATATGTCCATACATACAGTACTACCCTCTCCATAGTATTGCTTCAGATATGTCCATACATACAGTACTACCCTTTCCATAGTTTTGCTTCAGATGTGTCCATACATACAGTACTACCTCTCCATAGTTTTGCTTCAGATATGTCCATACATACAGTACTACCTCTCCATAGTATTGCTTCAGATATGTCCATACATATAGTACTACCCTCGCCATAGTATTGCTTCAGATATGTCCATACATACAGTACTACCTCTCCATGTATTGCTTCAGATATGTCCATACATATAGTACTACCCTCGCCATAGTATTGCTTCAGATATGTCCATACATACAATACTACCCTCTCCATAATATTGCTTCAGATATGTCCATACATACAGTAATTCCCTCTCCATGGTATTGCTTCAGATATGTCCATACATACAGTACTACCCTCTCCATAGTATTGCTTCAGATACGTCCATACATACAGTACTACCCTTTCCATAGTATTGCTTCAGATATGTCCATACATACAGTACTACTCTCTCCATAGTATTGCTTCAGATATGTCCATACATACAGTACTACCCTCTCCATAGTATTGCTTCAGATATGTCCATACATACAGTACTACCCTCTCCATAGTATTGCTTCAGATATGTCCATACATACAGTACTACCCTCTCCATAGTATTGCTTCAGATATGTCCATACATACAGTACTACCCTCTCCATAGTATTGCTTCAGATATGTCCATACATACAGTACTACCCTCTCCATAGTATTGCTTCAGATATGTCCATACATACAGTACTACCCTCTCCATAGTATTGCTTCAGATATGTCCATACATACAGTACTACCCTCTCCATAGTATTGCTTCAGATATGTCCATACATACAGTACTACCCTCTCCATAGTATTGCTTCAGATATGTCCATACATACAGTACTACCCTCTCCATAGTATTGCTTCAGATATGTCCATACATACAGTACTACCCTCTCCATAGTATTGCTTCAGATATGTCCATACATACAGTACTACCCTCTCCATAGTATTGCTTCAGATATGTCCATACATACAGTACTACCCTCTCCATAGTATTGCTTCAGATATGTCCATACATACAGTACTACCCTCTCCATAGTATTGCTTCAGATATGTCCATACATACAGTACTACCCTCTCCATAGTATTGCTTCAGATATGTCCATACATACAGTACTACCCTCTCCATAGTATTGCTTCAGATATGTCCATACATACAGTACTACCCTCTCCATAGTATTGCTTCAGATATGTCCATACATACAGTACTACCCTCTCCATAGTATTGCTTCAGATATGTCCATACATACAGTACTACCCTCTCCATAGTATTGCTTCAGATATGTCCATACATACAGTACTACCCTCTCCATAGTATTGCTTCAGATATGTCCATACATACAGTACTACCCTCTCCATAGTATTGCTTCAGATATGTCCATACATACAGTACTACCCTCTCCATAGTATTGCTTCAGATATGTCCATACATACAGTACTACCCTCTCCATAGTATTGCTTCAGATATGTCCATACATACAGTACTACCCTCTCCATAGTATTGCTTCAGATATGTCCATACATACAGTACTACCCTCTCCATAGTATTGCTTCAGATATGTCCATACATACAGTACTACCCTCTCCATAGTATTGCTTCAGATATGTCCATACATACAGTACTACCCTCTCCATAGTATTGCTTCAGATATGTCCATACATACAGTACTACCCTCTCCATAGTATTGCTTCAGATATGTCCATACATACAGTACTACCCTCTCCATAGTATTGCTTCAGATATGTCCATACATACAGTACTACCCTCTCCATAGTATTGCTTCAGATATGTCCATACATACAGTACTACCCTCTCCATAGTATTGCTTCAGATATGTCCATACATACAGTACTACCCTCTCCATAGTATTGCTTCAGATATGTCCATACATACAGTACTACCCTCTCCATAGTATTGCTTCAGATATGTCCATACATACAGTACTACCCTCTCCATAGTATTGCTTCAGATATGTCCATACATACAGTACTACCCTCTCCATAGTATTGCTTCAGATATGTCCATACATACAGTACTACCCTCTCCATAGTATTGCTTCAGATATGTCCATACATACAGTACTACCCTCTCCATAGTATTGCTTCAGATATGTCCATACATACAGTACTACCCTCTCCATAGTATTGCTTCAGATATGTCCATACATACAGTACTACCCTCTCCATAGTATTGCTTCAGATATGTCCATACATACAGTACTACCCTCTCCATAGTATTGCTTCAGATATGTCCATACATACAGTACTACCCTCTCCATAGTATTGCTTCAGATATGTCCATACATACAGTACTACCCTCTCCATAGTATTGCTTCAGATATGTCCATACATACAGTACTACCCTCTCCATAGTATTGCTTCAGATATGTCCATACATACAGTACTACCCTCTCCATAGTATTGCTTCAGATATGTCCATACATACAGTACTACCCTCTCCATAGTATTGCTTCAGATATGTCCATACATACAGTACTACCCTCTCCATAGTATTGCTTCAGATATGTCCATACATA